GACAACGTTCGGAGTGAAAAACAACCGTTTGATTATTATAGTTTTGACATTTTATCGATGACGGTCATATACATATCTGGTAAGCATTCTGTGTTTGTTAACTTAAATTTTTTGGACATAACAATGTATTTAGACAATAACCGCATTATTTATGATTGGTACCATAAGGAGACGTTTTCTGGCAGATATTTGAATTTTCTTTCTCAACATCCACTTTGTCAGAAAAGAGGCACGGTTATTGGTCTCTTAGATAGAGCATTTTTACTGTCTCATCCCAAGTTTCACTTAAAAAACATCAACCTTATTATACAGATTCTGCTTAATAATTCCTATCCTTTGCGTTTTATTTTCCAAACTATCCATCACCGGCTCAAATTGTTAATCAACAATTTAAAATATGAAAAAATTAACACTAATACAGAGGACCAACCTAGGACTGTTTACTTTACAATTCCGTATATTCCTTCCATATCTGAACGGTTTATTGATATCATAAAAGACCTCGATGTTAAATTATCTTATTTTAGTCTCAATAAAATGCATAAATATATAAAAGCACACAAAGACATCACCCCAAAATCTCTTTGCAAGAATGTTGTATATAGGATTAATTGTTTGAATTGCGATGCTTCCTACGTAGGACAGACACGTAGACAATTGACAAAAAGAATTTCTGAACACCGGAATCATATAAATCGCAACACCACGGTTCATTCAGTTGTTACCGATCATAGGATAAATTTTAACCATAACTTTAATTGGGAGGAGGTGGAAATATTAGATAGCGAACCGTTTCTCCAAAAACGGTTGTTGTCAGAGATGATTTTCATAAAAAGACAAGTAAATAGCCTTAATTTACAAACAGACACAGAATGCTTACCAGATATGTATATGACCGTCATCGATAAAATGTCAAAACTGTAACAATCAAACGGTTGTTTGTCACTCCGAACGTTGTCGTCTCGCCACGTAATGTTTGTCAGTCTATTGTGGGATCTCGCAAAGGATGGTCCATTTAGTCTGACTACATGTATACCAAGATATTTTAAGGTACTGACACCACACTTTAATTATTTCTTGTCATTTTTTAGAGGTCTTTTTTCCTCTTTTTTAATCTATGACATAATTTGTTTTTTAACTTTTTTAACTCATTTATTTATTTACTTTTATAAATTTGACCCACTCACCATTATTTATTGTTTTTGTTTTTTGGATAAGGAACTTACATGAGTTTTAAGTTTTATATCTTCTTTACGCAACCTATATTAAGCTCTCTCCACCTTGGTGATTCCAGGATGCATACTAACAAATGTTCTGTGAACTTATCGATTCGGTTGCTTCCTGGTTTGCCAACCGGGGAGATGCGAACCGTAAAAAATTGAGAATCTCATGACATCCTTGAGGAAGACGTACTTACGATATCTTGGTGATGTCTAAACAACGATTATTATTGCGATACAATTGGTTATAGATGAGTTCATTGATCCGCCGATTTAACTATCTTTTTTGTTTGCGATTTTTTCACGCTGAAGAAGGTCCCAAAAAAGGACCGAAACGTTCGTTAATTATAAATTTGTAATGTCGTAAATCGACACTCGGCTAATCTAATTTAAATAAAGTATGCGCACCAACTCCAGCGCTGGCTCTTACTTGCCATTTATTTATGTTTGAGTTTGTATTTAATAGAGCCTGTACTTTTGAGTTTATTGTGTTTATATTTTATGTTTTAAGTTTTAAGTTTTAAGCGTATAAATTTTTAGGTGTAAAATTTTGAATTTTAGATTTCTTAAAGCTTAAAGCTTATAGTTTTTAAGTTAGGATTCAATGTTTCAATGTTTTATAGTTAAAGTTACAAAGTTACGATGTTCTAAATCTAAATGTTTAAATGTCTAATTGTCTAATGAATATAATGAATAAATAATGTATACTGTGGAAGCCATCCAAAGCCGCAAGGCAAGGATTAAATAAAATAAATAATAAAAGAAACAAAAGATAAATCATGGAAATAAAAGTCGTGTTAAAAGTTTTACACTGTTTGATAAATTTTTTAAATTTTCTTTAGATGCGTTTTAAATATGAATACAAAAAATCTTTTATTTGTCTATTCGAGTATAAGAAACGAAGGATAGCTTACGTGAATCATGTAACTAGGCAAAGGTATTGAGTAAGTGACAGGCGCAGGCGGATGACCACTGGATATTCGTGCAGGCGTCAATGCTGCCATCATCAGATGAGGTTGAATTTGTCGTCGAAGAGCCGCCAACATATCTGCACTCTCGGCATCCATTTGTTCCGTTGTTGATTGAGATGCTAAGACTGCGTCCCCTTTTTCTGACAAGGTTATTAATCTTTCTAGGATAAATTTTCATTTTATATTGTAATGTAATTAGAGGGACCAATATATTTTAAGGAAATTATTAAGATCTAATTTTTCATTGAGTGAACATTTAAGTGAGTGAATATTTAAACTTAAAACTATTTGCAATCAATGTTTATATTTCTTGACACTGACAATGGAATATGCATAGAATAAAAACGATATATTCTACACTTTATTGGTATAGTAATTGCAATAGATTTAGTTGGTATTTGAGCATCATTTAATATAATAATAATTTTCAAGATTGGGAAATGTGCTAATCTTAATACAATAAATACATATTTCAAGAAGGAATTAAATAATATATCAGTAAAACGGCGAAAAGCCATTATTAATAATAATTAAGGAAAATCTTTTAGTTAGAAGAAAACCTACACAGAACGTACATATTTTCAGATAAATTTATAAATCTAATATGTATATAAGAATGATATATATACATATACAGAGTGGACCATTTTAATCAATCCACACGAATATCTCGAAAACAGAGCCCGATAGACAAAAATGTTTCAGACAAAAGTTGCATGGTTTCGAAGGGGCCACATGATAAAAATATGGACTTGACCTTAAATGACCTTTTCAAGGTGCGGTCAATGTGATCGATGTTTTCTTAAATGAAACCCCCATTTTTATTGCATATTCTTGTAGCTTATCTCGAGAACTTTTCAAAAATATTTTTTCATTAAGTATTTTTTGAGTTATTTTATATTTTAATCTGACATATTTTGATATAAAAAATAAAATATCTCGTAAAATATTTAGTTTTCGATAATCTTACCGTAATATTTTTATTTACAAAATAATAAGAAAAATCAATTAGTGCAAAAGAAAACAAATAATTGTTTAAAAAAATACATTGTAAATAATTACATACTTTTTCTTAAAAACAATTATTTTTTTTGATACTAATTGATTTGTCTCATTATTCTGTACATAAAAGTATTACGGTAAGATTATTGAAAACTAAATATTTTACGAGATATTTTGTTTTTTATATCAAAATATATCAGATTAAAATATAAAATAACTCAAAAAAAACTTTATTATAGTGTTTTGAGAAACTCTCGAGATGAGCTACAAAAATATGCAATAAAAAATAAGGGTTTGCATTTAAAAAATTCAAGGTGATCTTGTCCTGACCTTGGCGACGCCACCCAAGCCCAAACTGATAAGATCAGTAATAGATCTTTTTAAACCCCACAACTTTTATTCGAAACAATTTTCTGTAAAACTGATGTTTTTCGAAATTTTTCATGGTTTCTATACTTTTTCCTCACCCTGTATATACCTTATAACGTGTATATATATACAGGGTGTCCCATAATTCGCGGATTACCTCTCGTGTGCATATAAAGCATGTTAAACTGAGTAGGATACAATCTCGGTTTGCGATCTTCGCGACAATTAATAAGAAATTAATTAAAAAAGATCGGCCAATCCGCGCCTTGCACAAGCGCGCGGCGAGAAGAGACTTTTTGCTGTCGCGGTTGCTAGGCGCGCGGCGAAGCGGTGGGAGGAACCAGCGTTCGCTTGTATGTACAAAGCCTTTGTAGAGCGCCCCTCCCACCGCTTCGCCGTGCGCCTAACAACCGCGTAACAGTGAGTGCTTTCCAGCAAGCAACGTACACAGGCGACACTGTGTAACACAGTGTACGACTCAGTGCTTTCCAATTACGACACAATCGTACACAGCTAGAATGATGTGTTCGACTGTGTCGTCGCTCAATTGATTAATTAAACTTATAAATTTTGTTAATAAGATAAAATTGTAACTATATTATACTTAATTTACATAATTTGATCAGTTTTTAATCTCTTCTCTACATATCTGATAAATAAATTAATATCAAGAATATCGAAATAAAATGGCAAAAAGAGCCAAGCGCAGTATTAAGGGCGCAAAAATATTTATTTTAAAAAAATTACATTACTCGCGAAAGGCGGACGTTTTGGCCCTTTTTTTTGGCCATCATCAGCGCAACAAAAAATAAAATTACAATCCATGTCATCACGAGGAAGAACGAATCCTCGATTCTTTGGTCGTAAATTAAATCCAAAAACATGGTGATATATTAATATTAATTGTGTCTGTAAAATAAGCGGAGCGGTTTATGTCAGAAAATGACGAGAGAGAAGGTCTGTGTCAGAAATTATAAATAATACTACGGCGCAAAACAATAAAATTAAAGAAAGTTGTCAAGAACGGTGAAATTTAAAATACCATAACAACATATAAATAAATTACAATATACAAGCGTTATCTATAATACAGCAAAATTAAAATAATAAATAAATAACTATAAAATGGTCCGGTCAATGTAAATATCGAAAAATAATACAAATAGTTGTCGTTGAAGATAAGAGGGTTGTCAAGTAAGGTAAATTAAATTAATAAATAAATAAAACGCGATACAATAAACGTTGTCGCTAGGTAAACAACGGCGCAAAACAATAACATTTAAAGGTTGTCAAGTACAGTAAAATATGAAATAATCATAAAAATTACAATGAAACATAAAATAAATATATAAAAATAATGAATATAACAGATGTCAAGTATGGTAAAATAAAATAAAAATTAATATGGAAAATATAAAAAAAGATGTCAAGTGTAGTAAAATAAAAACCAATATGGAGGTATAATAAAATTAATTAAATAAATAACATACAAATAAAATAAATTAAAAAGTGCGAATAAAAATACGACAGAAAAATCAATCAAATTTTGGAGAGTTTGTCGAGTACCGTCAAATACGCTTCTGGAAGACATTCGATGTCTGTTTGTAGATTTAAACTATCTTTTTGTCTCTTTATGTGTAGAACTTCGGAAATCAATCGCTTATGTAAATGTGGTTCATTATCTAGTATTTCTATTCTGTCCCACTTGAAATCATGATTAAGAGTAATTCTGTGCTCGGTTATAACAGAGTGACTGGTCGTATTTCTACGAATATGATTTCTATGTTCCGCTATTCTCGTGTGTAGTTGTCTCTCGTTTAAAACTCTCGTTTAAAACTCATTGTGATGCTTATTTGATTTTATTTGTAATTTTATTTTTCGTTGCGCTGATGATGGCCAAAAAAAGGGCCGAAACGTCCGCCTTTCGCGAGTAATGTAATTCTTTTAAAATAAATATTTTTGCGCCCTTATTACTGCGCTTGGCTCTTTTTGCCATTTTATTTCGATATTCTTGATTTTATTCGTTAAGAGTCTTACATTTATATCTTGTTTTTAAATAAATTAATAACTCATAAAGAATTTTTGTTAAAAAATACGGTAAATATGCATGAAAGGTTACACCTCACCGATTTTATCGTCACTTAAATATGTTGTAAGGGAGGTTCTTCTGAGTAATTCCCCGCAAGAAAAAAGTGGGGGAAAGCATTCGTTTAGAAGATATAACAAAATAAAATTAGGAACAGTGATATTTGTGTACATTGTATTTCTTGTAGAGGACGTAGGAAATGTTTTTGTTTACATTTACGAGATAGGTACAGGGTCATAGATATTTTGTCAATAGTCGGATTCAGCTATTTCGGTGAATAAATATATTTAAAGTATTTTCTTAGTCCTTTAAATTTTAGTTTTAAATCAGAAATAGGTTTGGGTTAAATTATATCTTCCGGAAGTGGAGCCCCCCCTACGCGGAACTCACTGCGTCCACGCATATACTTTACAACGCGAAGCAACGTTCCACATGGGTTTACAATTTTCCACGCAAAGCGAGTTTCAACCCAAATCTATGTGTCTAGTTTTTTGGTAGTGGAGCCCC